AGAAACGGAAAAATCACAGAATTGGACCAAATAAACTACGGAAATCCTATAAGTGGGGAAAAATAAAGAGAAAATAAAGCGAAAATAAAGACACAAAAATGGGACAAACATCTACTTTATGAAGTTGACTGATGTAATTGGCTTATATATTTCATATGCGAAATGGACCATTATCGTGCAGGTCGGTTAAAATAATATGGTTATCAAAATGGGGGAAGGTTCATATGGAAGTAGTGATGTTGAAGATTATGTTCCTGTACTTTAGAGTTCATCTGATGATGAGTTATGTGATGATGAGCTTACTTCAGATAATGAAGAGAGAATTGTGGCTAGAAGGAATTTTAGCTTATATAAGAAGTTTGTTCCAGATGAGGCAGAGAATGAAGATTTGTTGCTCTCCATAGTTCATCAAGAAATAACATAGTCTGAGAGCTCAGATCTTGACTATGCAGTGATCTCCAATTCATCTACTAGTGATGAGTTTGATGTGGATGAGGGCAGACCAAAGAGGTTAAAAAAAAAAAGGTCTTTTATGATCCTAAGTGTGATCACAAGAATTTTAATTTTGTGTTTGGGATGAGGTTTACATCTGCTGAAGAGGTCAGAAGGGCCATTCAGAAGGTAGCCATTATTAATGGCTATAATATACAAAATGTTAAGACCAACAAAAGGCAGATCCAAGCTAAGTGTATTGAGGGTTGTCCTTGGAGCCTTTATGCTTCTCAAATCACTTCTGAAGGTAGGTTTGCAATAAAGTCTCTGAATGCTGAACACATATGCCATATAAATGTACACACTAGGCAGGTGACTGGGGATTGGATTGCTAAGGAATATATTGGCACTTTCAGAAAAAAACCCAAACTTCACTATATCACAATTGGCAGATGACATACTAAGTAATTATGTTGTTCAACAAACCAAATGGAAGCTTTATAGAGGAAAATGGAAGGCACTGGAAATGTTGAGAGGATTTGTGACAGAGCATTATGCATCTCTTAGACGTTACATGGCTGAGTTGCAGAGAGTAGACAGAGAAGGCATATTTGAGTTTCTGTTACAAGATGATTTAGTGCAAATGTACACTCTAGACCATCTATGTACATCTATGTATATAATACATATACATCTATGCATTGAATCAAAACTTATTTATTGTTAGTATGTACATAGGTATGTTGGATTGTTAGTATGTTAAATTTTCGGTATGATTTGCTGTAATTTAACTCAATTTTCGTCAGTAATTATTAGATCTATTTTATTTATTTTAAATAGCTTGTTTCTTATTTTAAATTATTAATTTTTTGTTTTTAGTGATGATGCGATGGAAGAGCTTTCTTGCTGGCTCTGGTGGAAGTTGATGCTTATGCTGAGGAACTTGATTAAGGTGGTCTGGATTTTAATGTTTTTTATGTCAAGATGGAGGAACTTGTTAGATGGAGGAACTTGTTTGCTTTTATGTTGGAAGTGTTCACGTACTTTTTTTGTTTCTATGAATGGCGGATTTAATCATGCACTCATTTTGTTTCCATGAATGGCGGATTTAATCATGCACTCATTTTGTTTCTATGAATGGAAGATTTAATCATGCACTTATTTTGTTTCTATGAATGGCGGATATTTTGTTATAGTAAATAATCGGTTATATACAGTTTTCATACTGTTAATAATCGATTATTTACTTTTTATGTGTTTTTTTTCAAATGTATATGTGAACACATTTGGATGGATATGGGTTTGGCTTTGCATGGAACATTGTTGGTGCAAGTTTTCGAAACCTTTGGCAAACGAATTCTCAAATTGAAACCAAATTGCCGGTCTGAACATAAATCACTTTTGGAAAATGATTGTAATAAAGTGGATTGCTTACCATCCTTGTTAAACAATTTAGAAAATTGTAAATACCTGAGACACTTCAAAGGTAATCACTTGTGAGAATGAAGAAGATACATTTGTATTTTAACTATATCTTCATTTCAAAAAATGAAGAAGATACATATACATCTATGTACCGATTGAATCAAAACTGTTACTTTTGAAAATATATGATTTAGTGCAAATTGACACTCTAGACCATATATGGTGTAGATCATATATCCACATTTTAAAAATTATTGTAAAAAATTGAATTGCTTACAATCCTGGTTAAACGATTTAGAAATTGAATTGCAATATATTCACTTATTGGAAAATGATTATAATAAATTGAATTGCTTACAGTCCTGAGACACGTCAAAGGTAATCACTCGTGAGAACCCTTACATGTGGAAAAAAACACATAGAGGTTAAATAATATGTTATGAATAGTATGAAAACTGTTTCTCACCGGTTATCTACATTATGAAGTTTACTGATGCTACTCGCATATGAAATACATTAGCAAATTGCATCAGTCAACTTCAATCAGTGCATATTTACACTCTAGAACATATATTGTTTAGTGCATATATTCACTTTTTGGAAAATGATTGTAATAAATTGGATTGCTTACCGTCATTGTTAAACGATTTAGAAAATTGTAAATACCTGAGACACTTCAAAGGTAATCACTTGTGAGAACCCTTCATGCATGCACCTCGGACATTATCCTCTTCGTATCCTACATTTGTATTTTAAATACATCTTCATTTCAAAAATGAAGAAGATACATATACATCTATGTACTGATTGGATCAAAAATGTTACTTTTGAAATAATATGATTTAGTTCAAATTTACATTCTAGACCATATATGGTGTAGAGCATATATTCATATTTTAAAAATGATTGTAATAAACTGAAGTGCTCACAATCCTGGTTAAACGATTTAGAAATTGAATTGTAATATATTCACTTATTGGAAAATTATTGTAATAAATTGAATTGCTTACAGTCCTGAGACACGTCAAAGGATGAAAACTATTTCTCACCGGTTATCTACATTATGAAGTTTACTGATGCTACTCGCATATGAAATACGTTAGCAAATTGCATCAGTCAACTTAAATTAGTGCATATTTACACTCTAGAACATATGTTGTTTAGTGCATATATTCACTTTTTGGAAAATGATTGTAATAAATTGGATTGCTTGCCGTCCCTTGTTAAACGATTTAGAAAATTGTAAATACCTGAGACACTTCAAAGGTAATAACTTGTGAGAACCTTCATGCGTGCACCTCGGACTTTATCCTCTTTGTATCCTACATTTGTATTTTAACTACATCTTCATTTCAAAAATGAAAAAGATACATATACATCTATGTACCGATTGAATCAAAATTGTTTCTTTTGAAAATATATGATTTAGTGCAAATTTACACTCTAGACCATATATGGTCTAGAGCATATATTCTCATTTTAAAAATGATTGTAATAAATTGAATTGCTTACAATCCTGGTTAAACGATTTAGAAATTGAATTGCAATATATTCAATTATTGGAAAATGAATGTAATAAATTGAATTTCTTACAGTCTTGAGACACGTCAAACGTAATCACTCGTGAGAACCCTTACATTGGCCTGCTCACAACGCACATAAACATCACTTTTGTGATGAATGTTTTGCTTTTGCATGCTCTGTGAGGCTCAGCCTCAGCGGGGGTCAAGTAATACCGATGGCTTGGCTTGGTCATGTAGAACCATTTCTCATCTATATACACTATATTGTGCATGCTACTGAACTCAGCAGTTTCAATTGCTTTATGAAAATTAAGAGATTGTAAACAGAAACATAACCTGGAATGTTTATTTGCCTCTGTCAGTTGAGGTTTGATTGCATTCGTATGTGGTCTGATGTCTTTTGCTTTGATCCGTTTACCAACTCTGGTTTTGGAGTTGTTGACAGCCTTTGCAAGGTTCCTAATGGTGCCTCTATTTTGCACTGGCAGCCTTTGAATGGAATCCAAATCAGGTGTCTTCTTGTCTGATCTTTCCTTTCTCTGCTTCTTTTTGAAACTCACAGGCTCATTCTTGTCCATTGCTTGTTTTGCAGCTGACCAAAATCTTTTCACTGACATATATGAGATGTTGAACTTGTTTGAAGCCTCGATGATGATCACCTTTGGTGGATGCCCTTCTTTGAAGTTTGTAAGGATGAACTCCACCACCCGATGCTTCTTCTCTTCAGTTACATGTCTTCTCTCCATAGATTTGTGTATGTGATGTGGAGCACTGACAGTCTGTTAGTGTGTTTGTGAAATTGGAATGTGGTGCATTTTATAGGGATGTTGAATTTGTAATTTGAGGAAAAATGAAAAAAAAAAAATAGGGGGATGGGAGGCTACAAAATTTTTGGAGGATTTTGAATTTGTAATTTTTGTGGAATGTTGAATTTGTAATGCAACAGAGGTAACTTGAAGGTTGTTTACTGTTTGCTACAGTACTTGTTTACTGTTTGCTACAGTAATATCACTTTTTAACTTTTTAATTACATGCTTTGTTGGACCACTAATTACTAAATACATCCCTCCTAAATTCCCGTATTTACAGTGTCAGGGCCATATTAAAGGGACGGAGGGAGTAGTTAGTATTGACTCAATTTTATCGCAATTATATAAGGAAAAAAATATAATCAAGTGGGATCTTATTAGATTCGTCTCATCGTGAGGTTCAGAAAGGGTTAATTGCATGAAAAATCATAACCTTTTGTTTAATTGCTACAAAAACTCAACTTTTTCAAAATTTCAACTAAATACCAAACCTTTATTAAGTTTTGTAAATTTATCTCGAAAACATATTTCGGCCAACATACTGTTATATCACGCCAGCACTAAATCGGAAGAAACAATTGGAAATTACACATAGAGTGTAGGCAAGAAATGGACCATTATCCTGTTGCTTGGTTAAAATAATATGATATGACAGTATTGCCATTAAAAATGAGGTATGCTAAGTAAAATATAGATTTAAAATATTCATAGGTTTGAAACATTCATTCAAAATATTCAAAATACAACATTCATGTATTCATTTGGACTTTCCATTCAACAATGAAGAGTCAAATGAATACAAATACAAAATTATAATTACTACAATAAAAAGTTCAAAAACAAGTTCCATAACAAATGTTATGCCGTAGAACTGGATCCATTAACTTTCAAACCCCTTTTCCAAGTCGACGTCGAGGGAGCTGAAACAAATAAAAATACCAATAAAATGATTGAAGAGAACTGGACACCAATAAACTGATTAAAGAGAAATTTATACTGTAGGCTATCAAAGGGAGAACATCCCTCAGCAGAGGCATCGTATGCCTCACTAGGTGGTGATGCACAAAAGGAGAACCCCTCGTCGGCCACCGCCACCCCGCCTGCTGTTTCCAGCTTACCCAGCACCAGTACAAGCCAGCCGCCGAGACAAGAAAAATGGCATTTAAAATCAGGGATAAAATTATCCTTGTTATAAAATCACTCCTGTCTTGTTTGTTCATCGAAGAAAATAGAGAGAACAGAAGAGGGAAAGGGTTTGGTAGAGAGGGTGGTGATGTGATAAGACGTGCATGGGGAAGATAAATAATCTATCTTCAGAATTACTCCCTCCGTTCAAATAAGTCTGAGCATATGTGGTTTAGTAAATATATTCACTTTTTGGAAAATGATTGTAATAAATTGAATTGCTTACAGTCCTAGTTAAACGATTTAGAAATTGAATTGCAATATATTCACGTTTTGGAAAATGATTGTAATAAATTGAATTGCTTATAGTCCTGAGACACTTCAAAGGTAATCACTCGTGAGAACCCTTACATTTGGAATAAAAAACACATAGAGAGAAAATAATCAGTTATTAATAGTATGAAAACTTTTTGTAACCGGTTATCTATTGTATGAAGTTGACTGGTGTTATACGCATATCGGACTTTATCCTCTTTGTATCCTACATTTGTATTTTAACTACATCTTCATTGATTTGGAAAGATGGGAACAACTGCATTGATTCGAAAACTATCCATCCAGTTGTGTTCACATATACATTTGAAAAAAAAACACATAAAGAGTAAAAAATCGGTTATTAATAGTATGAAAAATGTATATAGCCGGTTATCTACTTTATGAAGTTGACTTATGTATTTCATATGCAAAATGGACCATTATCGTGCAGGTTGGTTAAAATAATATGGTTATTATAATGGGGGAAGGTTCATATGGAAGTAGTGATGATGAAGATTATGTTCCTGGACTTGAGAGTTCATCTGATGATGAGTTATGTGATGATGAGCTTGCTTCAGATGATGAAGAGAGAATTGTGGCTAGAAGGAATTTTAGCTTATATAAGAAGTTTGTTCCAGATGAGGCAGAGAATGAAGATTTGTCGCTCTCCATAGTTCATCAAGAAATAACACAGTCTGAGGGCTAAGATCTTGACTATGCAGTGATCTCCAATTCATCTAGTAGTGATGAGTTTGATGTGGATGAGGGCAGGCCAAAGAGGTTAAAAAAAAGGAACTTTTATGATCCTAAGTGTGATCACAAGAATTTTAATTTTGTGCTTGGAATGAGGTTTACATCTGCTGAAGAGGTCAGAAGGGTCATTGAGAAGGTAGCCATTATTAATGGCTATAACATACAAAATGTTAAGACCAACAAAAGGCAGATCCAAGCTAAGTGTAGTGAGGGTTGTCCTTGGAGCCTTTATGCTTCTCCAATCACTTCTGAAGGTAGGTTTGCAATAGTCTCTGAATGCTAAACACAGATGCCATAGGGATGTACACACTAGGCAGGTGACTGGGGATTGGATTGCTAAGGATTATATTGGCACTTTAAGAAAAAATCCAAACTTCACTATATCAAAATTGGCAGATGACATACTAAGTAATTATGTTGTTCAACCAACCAAAGGGAAGCTTTATAGAGGAAAATGGAAGGCACTGGAAATGTTGAGAGGATTTGTGACAGAGCATTATGCATCTCTTAGATGTTACATGGCTGAGTTGCAGAGAGTAGACAGAGAAGGCATATTTGAGTTTCTGTTACAAGATGATTAAGTGCAAATGTACACTCTAGACCATCTATGTACGTATATATATAAAATACATATACATCTATGTACCGATTGAATCAAAACTGTTACTTTCGAAAATATATAATTTAGTGCAAATGCACACTCTAGACCATATATGGTGTAGAGCATATATTCACATTTTAAAAATGAGTGTAAAAAATTGAATTGCTTACAATCCTGGTTAAACGATTTAGAAATTGAATTGCAATATATTCACTTACTGGAAAATGATTGTAATAAATTGAATTGCTTACAGTCCTGAGACACGTTAAAGGTAATCACTCGTGAGACCCCTTACATTTGAAATTGAATGTTTTATTTGGGCCATAAATTGAAACCCAGTTAGGTTAACTATGAAGGAGTTCAGATTGTTGTGGGAATTAGTTCAGATGACCTTCCCCAAAGAAAAAATTGTGCAAATAACCCTTGACCAAAACTTTCATAAAAATTAATTCAAAAATCCATATAAATAGGGATAAAAGACAGTTATACCCCTAATTCTATTTTTAAAGAAAAAACTTTAAAAAAACCATTAAAAAATAAGCTAAAAATGCTTAAATTCCAATTATTGGAGAAATGAGTAGAATAAATAATATTCCTCTTTGAGAAAATAATGAAAAAATCCGAAATAATCAAGAATTAATTCTTGAAAGATTGGAAAAAAAAAAGTAGAAATATCAAATTTCTTTATACTTTGCTATCAGAAATTCTTGATATTGCAGCAAAAGCTGACAAAATTAGTGAAAACATTAACCGGAGAAACGTAAATAGGTTAGAAGAAACTTTAATAAAATTAGACGAGAAAATTCCAAAAATTGAACCATTATTGGAAAATTTAAGCAAAGTAATTTTACTTGCAGATCAAATTGGAAAAGAATTAGGATTAAATGTCTAAAAGTCCTGAAATAGGAAATGTACAACAAGTACTAACAATAGTTAGTGAAATAAAAGAAGTTATTCTAAGATAGAGCAAAATATACAACAGTCTGATTCTAATAACCAAGACATTAAATTATTAGAAATAAAAGAGTGTAGGCAAGAAATGTTTGCCTCACATATTGGTTACAAGTGGTACACTTCAAAGGGTAAGCAAGAAATGTTTTGTTTAACAGGGACGGTAAGCCTTCATGCACCTCAGACTTTTTTATCACTCGTGAGAACCCTTCATGCACCTAAAACTTTTTTATCCTCTTCGTATCCTACATTTGTATTTTAACTATTTTAATAAATTGGATTGGGATCGGCTCATTTGTCTTAATTAAATTACAGCCTATCATAATGCAGTTTCCTCATTGCTCAACGTTACTGCAAGTTGCAAAATGAGCTTTATCATGACTTGCTAAAAAAACAGAATGCCCAAATCAGAACATACCTCATGCCCCAGTTTTACACCCATTTCTTGTGAAACTCGAGCAGCAATGCTCATCGCAGCAACATGGCGAGGTTGGGTGCATCCTATCTGCACACAATAAGTTGCCATTTTATAAACAAATTTGTATTTCATATTTTCGGGACCATGACAAATTGCAAGATCATGTAATGCCTCAGAAGCTATCATACCAACGGCTGCAGGACCCTTGACAAAAGAAGATCGTAATTGCTTCACTATAGTCTCACTTGGTAGTCTCTATAGTCTTTAGCAAGCCGAAAAGACCAAGGCACCTAATTAAAGCTCTGTGGACATCAAAGGTAGCATGCTTTGCCTGCATTTTGTAGGCTGTGATTAATAAAATAATTTAGGAAGAAATACAAGTAACAAATGACAAAAAATGTTCCATGTATATGACGAATTGAGTAAAATAACCCGGGAAGCGGTATAGAGTGAATAATTTCACTAGGCTTAATAGCCCTTCCATGCATATGGCAAATTGAGCTAGTTTTCTCGAGAAAAAGTGCAACTACTGCAAGGCAATGCAACAACTGCTTGCATTCTGCTATTCTTTCTTGGCATAGCTGGCCACGTTCTTCCACTACTGCAATAACGAGCTCTTTAAATTCTCCAGGTGATGCATGAACTTTCTTTGCCAATTCTACTACAGCTGCAACCCAGTTTCTTTCACCTCCAAAATTAAAATCATCCCCAACAACCACTTCATTTCCGCTTCATCCATTTTATGGTCAACTGCAATGTGCATCAGCTTCTGAA